ATTAAATTCACCAAAAGGTACTTTTAACTAAGAGGAGGATTTTGAAGGCTGAATCAGGCCTGCTACTTGAAAATTTTCTTCTGAGGTCAGGTGATAGAGAGAGGGGAATTTATCACAGCAGTGATGTAACAGAGCTGGTCTTTTCAATTAGTTGCATTTTAGATTAACATTTTACTATATATTTACATTGGACTAATGTCCTGTGCTTATCATCATCTCAGTGACTTCTGCACTTTAATCTTCTGGATTTCAGAATGAAATGAACAATGTCTGCATGCCAGCTCTGCACCGTGAGGGGAATCCTTTCTGACAACTAAGACCAAAAATCCTGCAGTGGTATGAAATACTTGTCTGTCCAGCAAAAGGAAGGGACACAGACTGAAGCAATAGCACTGGAGACATGTCAGTGGGGGCAGGTTTTGCAATCTATGTTTGATAACAGTGCAGATACCAGCGTATCCAAACATCTCTGCCTTACCACAGTAGTTATTAGAATATCCTTAACCCTGTGTAATTAAATAGTCACTGTTGTGACTGCTACCTTCATTAGACAGTGTACCTGTCATCCTCGTGCAAAATCCAACTTCTCCTCCTCTTTGTGAGGCTGACTTCTGCTCAGCTGAACACCCTCCCCAGCTCAGCCAGCCCAGCCTCCTGCTGTCACACAGCAGCAGCACTGTTAATCTCCTCCAGACCCTCCCAGCTCTCTTGGGAGGCTGCTCAGAACTGCTCTGGCAGTTCCAAAACGGCAATGATGCAGAAAGGAAATGAAAACTCAGCTTTTTTCTAACTCTGTTTATCTGTAATGTAACAAGTGAGAAGCAAAAAAAACCTGATGTAGCTGAAATAAGAGACAAAACTCTGCACAATGAATAGATGATGAATTTGATCTGTCTCACTCAGTGAAGCCTTCACTGAGCAGCACTGTTAAATTGGTTTTTCAATTTCTTTTAAATGTGAGATAATGGAACAGAAAGGAATCTTTTATGTAGGTAAAATCTTATTCTCACTCTGCCATTCTATATTTTCTTCTGTTTTTAAAGTACTTTTGTGTTGGTGCCATTTTTTCTTTCTCTTACAAAAACAGTTCAAGTGATACTTCAAACATTTTAAAAGAAGGAAGAGCAACTGTGGATAAAAATCAGTTTTGTGACACTTCCTTGAAAATTAAATGTGATTTTTTTGTCTACAGTGTTCCCTTTCAAATCAGGTTTCCAGTGGAATCCCTTCCCAGCTGAGGCAGCACTGACAGCTGGCTGGGAGGAGAGGGGTTTGTACCTCTGGTCTGTGTAAAGCTGCTTCCTCTCTCTTAGGTCTCCTCAAAGGCACACCAAACCTCCAAAACTGTGGCAGCAAGGATAGTTGTTGGAAAGTTACTCCAATTACATCATCAGCTGAAGGGGAAAAAATAATCTCTGAAAAATTCTGATAAAGTATGATAGTGAACCTTGTGCTGTCAAGGGCTGTGGTTAAAGCTCTTAGAAGGATCATTGTTCCTGAGGCTAATTATAGTAACATGACTGGGCATGCATACACATTTTCCATGGGTTTTTGGCATCACCTGATGGGAAGCTGTAGGAGAAAGAAGAAAGGCATGGCAGAAATATTTCTGTAAGGATACTGGGGTAAGAAAGAAGTGCATGCTATGATGTCTGTGCTGGCTGGAGGAACAGCTGGGTGAGGTACCAGGGCACATCTGTACTCCTCCTGTCCGGGCTTTGCTCATCCCTATGGAGCTGAGTGGCCATCCCCAGGGATGCTGCCTGTGCAGCAGGGTCACCATGAGAAGGTAATCCCCACAGGGGATGTGGCATTCATGGTTTTGTACTCATCTAAATTATAACAGTGGATAAAGCTCCATCCTTTCAGTAGAAATAGAACTTGGTCTCCCATTTGTCATCAGAAGAAAATAGATCCAAAGTCTCCACTTCCCATAATTTCATTCGTGTCAGTGTCTAAATCCCTGTGAAATTCCCTGGAATTTGTTGTCTTAATCTGGTTAACTTTTCATGTCTGCTCATCACATGGTTAATTATATTCTGGTGATCTGGTGGGAAGTGGAGCAGACTCATCCTAAAGGTAAGAAATGCGTGACACAGAAACTTCTGAGTGTTAGTTGCGCCGTGTGGGCACGCAGGGTGCTGTCAGGCTGGAGGAGTGTTCTCGGGCTTGCTCAAATGCTGTTCAGCAGCTTGTGTCATTCTTCAGAATGTAGCTTCTATATGGAGCAGACTTTATACATCAGATGTGCAGCCAAGGATTCATGCCTCCCATTATTTAGAGCTTATATCACTACTTTGTAGGCTGGGCTTGGAGCAAGGAAGCCTTTGAAGTGTTGGTGTGCTCTCAACAGGCATGAAAACATTGTGACCTGTCTTCTTTCGGGCTGTTAGTCATACTGTCCAAATCTGGGTGTCTAATCTGTCAGATTAGAGGGTCTCTCTCTAATCAAAGTGCTATTGATAAGGATAAAATCCAAAAATGTATTTTGATCCATTGATCTAAGTGGGTGGTGGATGCAGTACAGGCCTGATGAAATGTGGAGGAGTAAAAGGCAGTGCTAATGCCTGACTGAGCTGCAGGTTAAAAATGTGATTGATTAATGGATTAATTGGAATTAATTCTGGTGCTTCCTTGCTAGACACAAGGTTTACCCTTCTTTGTGCTCAAGTATTTGACAGTCTAGAGCTCAGGTCTTATCTGAATGGACTGCTGGGTTGTGCATTGTGTGGCTGGCGGGGTTCTGTCTTTGCCAGGATTTCTGTCTTGTGCTGCAGGATGGCTTTGAAGGGGATAAGCAGAATGGGCAATATTGGTCTTTGTGACCACTGGCAGTAGAAATGCCGAGTGGGAGTGGTGGGCAGGGTGTGCCTTGCATCTCTCTGCGTTTTAGTTCCAGCTAAACCTCAGAGAGATAAGAAAACTGATTCCTTGATTCCTTACCTAACACACAAGCAATAATAATATAAAACTCACACATCTGTGTCTACATTGAAACGCAAAGTATCAAGGCCATATTTGAAATTCTTTTCCCAGCTGAAGTCTGTGGGAATGAATGCTAGTGCAGCCAGAACTTAACTCTGGTATCTAATCACAGCTCTGCTGTGACCTGTCCTGTGACCACCGTGACTCGTTTGACCGTCCTTAGTGGTACTCACCTCACCAGCACCGTGGGGGTAACAAGATATGTCTTCCTTTATATAATAGCCACCAAATGCTGCTGTGGTTTCTCTCTGCAGCTGACACTCACAGTGAGGTTTTCTTTTGATGTGTCTGAATTTGAGATGCCACTACACCTCGAACAGCCTGGAGGTGTTTCTGTCAAAATCCAGCCCCTTGTGGGACACGCTTCTCCCTCAGCAGGAGAGATTCACAACAGAGGGAAGACTGAGCTCATTTGTGTTTGAAGACTGAGCTCATTTGATTGAGATATGATCTTCTTATGTGTTTATAATCATATTTCTGATATTCCAACACATTCAGCGGGCTGTGGCTACAGGTAAATTTTCTTAGTGTCATACATTGTGGCTCCACCACAATCACATAATAACCAACATTTTCCCCTTTACATCTTGTTGCAGTAAAGCAACACAGAGAGGTCAAGGTATGGGGATTCCAACACTGGAAAGTAAATATTGATTTTTCACTGACACTAGTCATGCTAAGTTACACGTGGCACTTTGAAACAAAAGATTTTAACTGACTTGATGTGAAGCACATGTGCATTGCTGAGGGGTGATAGATAGTGCCCCATTCCCTTGCTTTTATCTCTGTTCTTCCACTTTTTCTATTATTTTCTAGCCTAGTTATGCCACTTGTCCTTTGAAACTTCCTTGATGCATACTTTTGCAGAAATTTAAGATTGCATCTCCAAAAAATACAGTATCCTGACTCTAGAACAAGATACTTAATTCTGACTTCGAAACCAACCACACCCCACATTGGCGTGCTTGTACATTCACACTCATGGCTCAGTCTGATCCATGTGGCTGTGGAAAGCTGCACCCTGCTGTACAAATGACCCGTTCAATTTTCCAGGCCTTATCCTGGGCTATCAGCTTTCAGTATTCCTTCCACAAGATCCTTCTCTAAATCCTTATCCCTGCACTAAGTCCTTTAAGTGCCAGGCAAAACTGTTACAGACTTTGAAATAGTACTGTGATGACTGAGATAAGACACAGAATTATTTTATCTACATGCACGACTTTATTCTCTGAAATAATTTTACCTTTAGGCGGAAAACTAGTAAAAACACATATGTATTTATGTAGTTATTTATTTATTTGAATTAGTGAGGTTTTGTTCTGAAGATTTGACCAATCATGCTCTCTTAGAATGCTTGAATAATGGATTTGGGAATAATTCTTTCATCCTGCATTCTTACCTAACCATTTCTTGTCTAATCTGCACAGAAGTTTTCTTCTTATTTGATATGAAACTAGTTAAATATTCATCAGCGTTAAATATTTTGAAGATTTTGGGAGGTTTGTTTTGATTTTTTACTTTTAGGATACCATTATGAAAGCACACAAATTTGTATGCTGTGTAAATGCACTTTCTAAAGACTGACTGTTGGCAGAAAAATAATTCTGTAGCTTTGTAACAAAATTTTTAAACATTCTGAAACTTCTGTTATCCAGTCTTGCCTAGTCCAAACGAGTGTCTCTAATGAGGATCCCCCCAGCCCTGCTCTTGCAACACCAGTAGCTGTTCGCCTGGCTGAGCCAGAAGAATCTCTCTTTCTGCTGGCTACTCCAAACCTAAAACACTGCTCTGTAGGACTCATATTTCTGTACTATACCTACGTGGTTTGCTTTGTCAGGCAACAAATTGCTTCTATCAGCTGTTAGGAATAAAAAAATACCCAAACCCTTTTTGGCAGAACCAGTGGGACTCTACTCACCGGAGTCGCTTGAAGTTTCTCCTCCTTTTCTTGGGTCTCAGAGGGTTTGAACGGGAGGGGTTCCTGCTCTCTTTAAATGCAGTGACCACCTCTGCCAGCCCTATAAGCTGGGAGGGGAGGGGAGTGAGAGTTTCAGGGATCTGAGCAATGCCACTGCTATCACCAAGCTGAAAATAACCTCTGACAAAAGCCTGGCATTTTGTTCCCTTATGTCTGCTTGTGAGTAGGTGGACAACAATGCAGCCCCTCAGATTACACCTAAAGGACATTCCTGACTGCAGCCTAACAAATCAGAAATAAAGATTAAAGTTGTGTAGTTGCTCTACTGCATTGCTTGAATGTGAATCATAAAATAACAGTCCTTGAAATTATGATCTCGTTATTAATTGTCACATTGTCAAAAATAATTTACCAAAATAATTGTTAAAAATAATAATACATCAAAACTTGTTTGTAGCAGCTCCAGGAAAACAGCAGTTTTAAAGTAAATAGCATTTCATTCTGCAGTTCATGATTTGAGAAATACAAGTGGTTTGTCTTCTAGGATACAGAGGATTATGCTTTTACCTAAAATCTTTCATTTTTTACTGTTTTTAGGCATTAAGATGGGTAGGTAATATGTATAATATTTAGCCTGTGTAATTATTGCAATTATCTTTGCTATGCCTGCCTGAGCTCCTTGGAAATGGATGAGGCTGCAGATGTATTAGAGATGTGGGCAGTAAAGTATGAACTTTTTTACAGGTCTTTATTTTTAGGGCTTTAAAAGTTTAGAAGGTAATTCTCCTTTTTCTGAGCAGATACCTGGATTTAGCAACTTTGCTCAGGATCTTGGACTTTGCTGTGTGTGAAAGGGCCCATCCCAGGGTTTAAACACCAGAACTCTCAAGCTGAAAGTCTCAACTTGGGGACTCTCATGGAAGCGTAAGAAAATAGATGACAAATCCATGTCAGACTTTAGGATTTAGGGGTCTGTTAGCTGAGGCTGCTAAGAAAACTCCTGGGAACATATATATCTGTTTGCTGTTGAGTCTGGCGCAGATTTTATAATGCAGAGACAGGTCCTTGATGTGAAATTGAAGGACTATTTCTTTCCTGAGCAGAGGAGCTGGACTCCATCTCTTCTGGGTCGTTCTCCCCAGATAGTTAATGGAACTATTCTGTATCAGAGAAAGCCAAATGCAGAGGGGACAGTGCAGTGTGTGGTATGAGGGTTCCTTGTAAGAGGGCAGCAAGAAGGGGTTGGGGCAGGCCTGAACTCCCTCTTGGAATACAAGGGAAGCACTGAGAAGCTTCTTAAATCTTTGTGTTTGCACCCTTGATGACTTACATTAGGAACCCTGACATTTGTGAGGGATGAACCTTCTGTAATGTTCACTCATATTTAATAGATCATGTACTTGGATGGATTTGCACCATAACCAACTGCAGGGAACTCTGTGAAGGAAGCTTTTGGCCCAAAATGTATTTTCCCTTTGGTTTTGGCAGAGGATTTAAGGAGAAAATGCAGGTGATGATTGTTTAGTTTTCCTGGTGCTGGGTGCTGCCTAATTTCTGTGCTGCTGTGTGCCCCTGTAAGGATTGTTGAAAGGCTCTTTACAGTGCCAAGGAACAGCTGGATCTGTACAGGTTTCTTGGGATTACCTGTCATTCCAGGTCAGCTGTGGTTAGCAGGACCTGGGATTGGAAGAAAAGACTCGGGATATGCAGCTGGAATTGCTTATATATGAACTGGAGTGAGAAGGTAGAGTTTTCCTCAAATCAGTGGAAGTAAAAAACCCTGCCCCTAGAGATGGAACACAGCAACTCCAAAGCAAAGCCAGCCTGGGGATCAGATGGGCTTCCCCAGAGCACATCAGGCACTCAGGGCACGTTCCAGGGGAGGTGAGGCAAGGTGGGAAGAGCAAGGAGCTGGGCTGTCAGAGACAAATGCAGGCCTGCTGGGGCAGGAGACCCTTGGAGCTGAGAAAGCAGCAGCTTTTCAGCCTGCAAAACCCGCACGCAGGAAGAAAAATGCTCATGAAAAAGCAACTGGACTGTGTCAGGAGGCAAGGGACACTGGACAGAAGGTCAGCAAACATGCTCAGCTTTCCAAAATATGCTCAGCTTTCTCAGCACCATGTGTGAGAAGATCATTTCACCAAGCTTAATTACTGTAGTTTGTCTGCCAGCTGTGGTGCTCAAAAATGAAAGGGGTGTAGTTTGTTTCCTGAGTAATGCAAGTTTATAAAACCTTTGCCTTTGTATTTCCAGAATGAAGTTGATAGCAGGTGTAAGGAAGATCAGTTATCTCTTTGGAATAGATCTACTCAGTGCTCTAGTGAGAATTCTTCCCTCTTCCACCTTTTATTCTTCTTTCCCCCTCATTTAGGAATATTTCAATAGTGATCCAATTCTGTCAGGTATATTTTGTGTTAGAACTTTGCACTACTGAAGAGCAGATGAGTTTTTTTACTGTGGTAGCTGGTTTTTGGTTTTTTTTTGTACAGTCCAAGCCTGAATCTTGGGCCTTGCTACCATTTCTCCTAGCCCAGGTTGATCTGCCAGGCACATTTCACCTGGGAAGGCAGATACATTGTATTTTTATTTAATTTGTCAGCTATTACTTGTTATCTGAGTGTGAACTGTATGAGGAGTCTTCATCTTTCTTCCTTCAGTGTATGTGAGACACTGCTGTCCATATTTAAATTCAAGTGGTTTGATTGAACCTGTTTGAAACTTCTGTGACATTTGGATACACGTTCCTCAATGCTCCAGGGTGATACCTTATTTCCTAACTTCTTTGTTCTGACTTGCTTTTAGGAGTTGTAATATCTACTGATAAGAGTTTAGAAGTTACATTGAGTTACTTAATTCGCTTTTTCACAAAACACCATTTTCCCCCCTTCCTTCAGAGCCCAGCAACCCCTGCCTGACAAAAGAAGAGTTAAGAGATGTCAGTGAATATTGCAATATATGGATATGCAATGTGTAACTTAGGTAATCTAATCTGATCAAACAGAAAAAGTCAGTGTAGAGTTTTATGTAAGTTTAATCTGAACAAATTGATTTAAAAATACAGTATAAATAATTCTTAACTTATATAAAAATTGATTAAGAAAATTTGGGGTTTTTTTTGTGCTTCTTATTAACTTTACAAAAGAGTATTATTAAACACAGAAGCAAAACATTTTACCTATGGCCTTTTTGCTAAGACATAAAATATTTACATGCTCACAGTACTTTTTTTTTTTTTTGGTGCAAAATATGTGCTGACTGATAGACTGTACCTTTCTGTACAATTTCAGCTTACTTTGCATAGAAGAAATCAACACACACTCACAAAAAAACCCACTAGACACGTAACTTTGCTGTTAAAATACTTCACATAAGCCTTTTGAAAAAATTCTTTAGGCATTAACTTTCTCCTTAAGAGTCAGTTTTATTTTCTAAAGCATCAATTAAGGCTATTCCAGCATTGAGGTCTTGGCAATACATGTCCAAACCATTGTCCGTCATACAATGCCGGATGTGTGCAGTGTGTTACCAGCAATTTTGCCTGCTAACACAATCAGCAATTCCCTATCCCAAAATTAGTCTTCTGAAACTTCAAGTTTTCGTTGAGGAATACATAGAGTTCCTTGAGAGGTTCTCTGGGTACCATCTGAGTTTGCAGATAGTGCAGGTTCTGTGTTTGGCCCTCCTGGTGTGCGGAAAAAGTTCTCTGTAGCTGCCTGAGGCTCCTGAGGTTCCTTTGGAGCAGAAGGCTGAAGAGAAATGAGAAAGTTACTTTCATTTATGGGGGAATAAAAAGTAAATTCTACTTCTAAGTTTCTGCAGGATGTTAGCAAACTTGTTTTTTCCCTGAAATTTAAAAACAGAACTTTTTACTGAGAAGGATATACCTGCATTCTTGTATATATCTCTATGTATAAATAGATAAAAATATGGTTTTTCTAATCCCCTTCTTTTTCAACATAAACAGATATTAGGCAATGCAGTATTATATCAAATATGGAGAGAAACTTCCTGTGGGGGAAAAAAATATTTAAATTGTACAGTCCTATCCTATTAAAGAATAGCTATTATTAAACACAAAAACTTGAGGGTAGATTAGGGAAGTAACAAGAAGGAAAGAAAATAACAAAGGGACAGTTTTTTAATAAGGACAATCTCAAATTGTGCTTATTAAAATATCTCTCAGATATGTAAAATCCTCCCTCTAAAACAGTTGTCTCTTCACATCTTGTCATCTTCCAGCTGGCTCCACTTCCACCACAAATAAGTCACTTATCTTCCTTGCTAACCTCTCATTTCTACTGTACTTAGGCTGGCCTTCACTGCTAGCTCTTTTTGGCCAATGCTGATTTCTAAAGATCAAAAAGAAATGTTTATTTATAAATTTTACCTGCTGTAAGGGAATTACTGCACTGCACTTCCCACTCAACCCACCATGGTGGAGTTGCAATATATTTTAACTCACCTTCCCTTCCTGCACGTTTGTGCTCCCTGAGCTATGGCTGATATTTTCTGATTGGGAAGAGATTGGCACGTGCTGAAGAACGGGATTTGCAGGAATTTGCACACCAGCAGGTATTAGTCCTATGTGTTGCAGCATAAAGTTCAGAGCTGAAGAGCTTGGATTTGGGGCAGAACTGGTACTGCTCGAATTGAGGCAGGAGTTGCTCAGTACAGGTGCAGCAGCTATGGAATTTGGTGACAGCATTATGTTCAAGGGTGTTATATGAAAAGCAGGAATATTGACTGTCTTCAGTTCTGAGGCTGGCATTGGAATGACACCTGGAAAAGAAACATCAAGTGTTGAAAGGAGTTAGGACAAGCTGGCCCTGGCCCCTTGAGCCGGCCCTCGTGCCTGTTTCCCTGGACACTCACCAGTGATGGGAGAGCTGTAGGCTGTGTGCTGCAGAGAACACACCCCAGCCTTCTCTTTAGTGGAGCACTCTGCCTTGTTGCCATGGGTGCAGTGAGTCAGAGGAATAAGATAACCAGATGGAAAAAAAGTCTGAGAAAGAGAGAGACAGCACATCTTTAGCCTAAACATGGAATAAACAAACCTCAAGTTTTCTCCAAAACTGCAACCCTCCCTTGCCTCGTTCTTATTCTTTGTCCTCCGTGTCCCCAGGATGCCATATCCCATGCCTGTACTACTTTCTGTCTGAAATGAGACACAACAGACTCAAGGACATGCTCGTGCAATTAGAACCACACAGAAGTCAGCTGGCTCCATTTCTAGCTGATACTCTTGGTGGGGAGCTGGAAATCCACCTGGGATTAACACAGTGCAATTTGACCAGATGGAAAAGAAACCCCGATACTGACTACTATTTTTCCAGAGTAAACATTCTGGACCCAGTAAATCATCACATCACTTCATTCTTGGATTGTGTTTTTCATAAAACAAATGTTGGATGACAAAACTTTTGCATTTACATTTTCTGTTTTTGTCAAACAGAACTGTTCCTTATTCAGGTTCTCTACAGCAATCAGTCTTAACTACAGAATACTGAATTTTATTGATGAAGAGAGTCTCATGTGATTGTTTCAAAGCCTTTGACAGTAAGTATAATGCAAAGAAAAGATGGGGAGGTAAGGGATCTCAATATTGCCCTCAGCTCCTTAGTGTGACCTTCATTCCAATGGAAGCCTGAAAGCTTCTTTATGTCCTCTTTCAGTGTAGAAACAGAAATCCTACATTCCTCCAAAATAAGGTTTTAAAAGCACACTAAAATGAATTCAGCCAAAGACAACCTATGTAGGTGTAGTTTATTGTAGTTTTCTTTTGCAGAGACTCCCAAGTAGTGTTTTCCTAGGGAATGGTAAGACAAACCTTACCTCAGGAGCAGGAATGGCAAATGCCACAGGTATGTCTTGTTTTGTTTTGATTTTATCTTCATCTTCTGGAATAGTTTCTTTTGTACATTGGTCACAGCAACTTGCCATGTTTTGATCTACTGTTTTGGTTTCATTTTGGATCTCTTCCTGGACATTGTCCATTTCATGATTAGTTTGTGAGCTATTGGATGGTGGTTTTTCATTCTTAGTGGGTTCTCCCTTTGAAAAAAGCACATACAAAAAGTAAGGCAGGTGTTGTAAGTCTTAACAATCCCAATTTGAGCCCTACAATGATAGTTATAAATTTGTAAAAGCTGGAAAGAAAGCTTTTTACTTCCTCCTGATTCCCAAGTTTGTACTATAAAATTTTTATGGTCACTAGGACAGCCAGGCCCATGTTATGTTGTTTCTTCCCAGCTAGTGCATGTTGGATAGCATGTCCTGTCATAACACACCTATAACATATGATGACTGTTTCAGCAAGCCAAATTTACAGCAGATTTACAATTTACAGAGATGCTAAAACAATCAGCAACTGAGGAGTAGAAAGCAATCCAGCCCCAGTCTCTCCATATACATCAAGTTTATCTGAACCTCTTATTATCTTCATCTGCTGTTCTATTATGCCTACAACAATCCAACACTGGGTGGAAATATTTAGAAGGCACCAGGATTTTGGGACATTCCCTGTCCAGTGACTTTTATACATCCACTTACCTCCTAAGACCTCTAAAGCCAAGAATGGATGCCAGCAAGTTTACAAAATCGTAGAATTCAAGGGACCTTGAAGATCTCTTGCTTCCACACTTGCTCTCAACCTGATCTCAACCTGACCTACTCCAAAATCATGTATAAATGGGTACGTTTGGACAGTGTTTTGTGAGTTGCTTTATTTTCACCTGTACACTTTGTCTTCTTAGATAGAAACCCCAGCCCCTCAAATAGCAGGCACAGCAAATGAACACCATCTCTCCAAGCCTGATGTTATTTAAAACACCTACACACGCTGGCAGGTTCCTACATCACTTTGAAAATGAGTAGGTGGCAACATCACTAAGCCATAAAGTGACATTTTAAAACTAATTTAACTTACCAAAGAAGTATCAAGGCTTTCCTCATCACTTTTACGCCTTTTAATTAAATTAGTCTCTGGTAGTGCTTGTGATCTTTTAAGGCACCGCTGAGATGTTTCTGATTTTGTTTCAGGTCTTTCTTCAGCTGCCAAGGATTTTGGAGGCTCATCCAGACCTCTCTGAGTGTCCCCTTCCTCAGTGGTTATTTTATTTAATACTTTTGAATTATTACTCTTAATTCCAGTTACGTTAGCACATGGCAGAGGCTGCAACATGAAGCCTGGGCTGTAGGTTGTCACGGTGTGGGCTTGGGAAGGGTGCAGATAGATTGCATATGAAACCCCAGACTGAGGCTGAGGTAGGATGACTGGTGACACAGAGCTGTGGCTTGCAGGGCACACCCCGAGGGGCTGGCTCAGAGCTGGCTGCTGAGAGGGCTCAGGCGTGGGGACAGCCTCAGCCGGGGACAGGGCACATTTCATTTGCATCTCTTCTGCTGTCCTTCAGCAAAAAACAAACAAACAAAAAATCCCAAATGTGTTTTAATTCCTTCATGCAGAATTAATGTTCTGACAAATTATCTTCTGTAATGTATGATATTATCTCCTGTAGTACAAAGGCTTAACATGAACCTGTACTTCTCAATCCACTACAGAGAAAATAAATGAAAAACTAGCCTGCAGTACTCAAGGTTACTGTTTTGTGCAGGCTATTGCCTCACTTGAACTGAGCCTAACTTTAACTTGTTCTCACCTTTAAACTTGTGCATACTTACTTGGCTTGTCCTTCCAGCTGATGTTTAGTGATTGCTGGAAACTGAGATATTGTATTTGGGAAAACTGGTAAACTTTGGTAAGTACCTGGTTGGAGAAGAAGAAATCAAAACAGTAAGTTCATAAAATTCAAAGTAAAAATTTAACTTTAGGTTGAAGAGACTGCATTATGTAATATAACATTTAATGAGATAACTTATCCTCAAATTCAGCCCAGATTTGATTTGATCTGGACACCAAATCTGGACATCAGCTTACATCAAACAAATTTTAAAGGCCCCAGAAAGGATCCCTAGAAAGGACATGAACACTAACAGGTAATTTTCTGGCCATGTTGTGGGATACAGAACTGCTTAGATAGTATGAACCAAAGCAGAGTTTCTACAACAAAGTAGGTTCAAAGAAGATCCAATATTCAGTGATTCTAGACAAACAGAAGGTTTGTAGCCATTTCTGTATTTTTGACAGCTCTTAAGATATATTTTTTGAAAGCCACCCACACATCTACATGTCCTGTGAGAAGAGGGCAAGCTCAAATATTTAATGCAAGACTTCATCTGGCTTAAAAACAAAGGAAAAGAAGTTCCTAAAAGAAAACTGATCAAAATATACATACTGGCACTTATTTTAACTGGGGTGGTTGGAGCAGACTGGATCTTCCTTCTGTCGTTCTCTATACTCTTAACTAATTTTATTAGAGATGAATGCCGAGTGAAGTTTTGCTTTCCTTTTGAAGGAAAAAGGGCTTTTGAGCACTGCTCTTTGGAAGTGACGGATTCTGAAATAGGTGAAGAGGTTGTAGAAGTTGCTTCAAGTTTTGTATCTGAAAAACAGAAAGAAGAAAACATGTATCATATGCAGATTCAGTAATTAAAAGCAATTATTTGAGCCTGGCTTACAATTCTTGAATTACCAAGAGATGCAAACATGGAAATTCAAGAATCTCAATAGCTGAACATCACTGCATGCAAATAGATACTGGTTGCTGTGCTGATAAGGACAGTGGTGTGACTAGTAAAAGATTTTCTGCTTAGTTATTCTGTCTTTTGGCCAAAAATTTTAGTGGAAAAAACAAAAAAACCAATCAGTATCATCAGCAGAAGAAAAGGAAATGACACATACACCTACCCTGAGTATTTGGTAAGACCTCAGGTCCTGTCCACTTGAATGCTGGTTTTCTACCTCTCTCCTCTGTAACATGAACTTTTTTTATAAGCTTAAGGCTGCTGAGAACATTTGCTATGTCATAAAGTCTTCTAATTTTGGCTGAAAGAAATAAATGGAAAGTATAGCAACTGCAATTAACAAGGTAGCATGTATCAGATAAAGAAATGTTGTAACACCCTTTAGGCAGCTGAAAGGAAAAAGCTTTTAAAGAATGAAAAGAACAATTTTGTGGAACAAGTATTTATACAATGAAATAATATTGTGATACAATGTTTACATGTAAAATAGGAGACATAGATACAGATCGAGAAGAGACTGCAAAGTTTATTATGCTAAATATGGAAAAAACATTTTCAAAACAAGTTAATTTCTGTGCAATGATCAAACCTACATAAATCCTGTAGTAAATATAAGTAGATTAAAATGCAGGTACACACATGCAACGGCAAACATGGGAACTGGAGGGAAGAGACACACTAAAATCCAACAGGATAATCATCCTGCATATCTTCCCTGTCTCTAGGTTGAGCTATTAGGGAAAAGTTTCAGGCAGAAGCCAAACTACAAGTGAGTTCTGGAGCAAAGTGAATGTGCTTAGGTCATGGAATTTTTTGGCTTCATAACCAAGAATGTGGTAAAACATGGGATTGATACTTGAAATAGAGGTAGACAGATAAAATGCCCCGAAAATGCTTTTCTTGTGAGACAGGTTCTTCTTATGGAAGAATAAAAGCAAGCAAAAAACCCTACTGAGTAGCCACCCACCCTCTCTATGTTGCTGTGAGGCACTGGAAAGAAAATCATGAACTGAAACCAGCAAGGATAGACACAATTCCACCAAAAAAAAAACTCAAAACCAAATCAAGAAATAACCCAAACAAGCAAAGGTATCTGAGAATTAAGGAAGAGTCTAACTTTCAATGAAATCCACAACTGTCCCTCAAAAGCAGCACATTTTTAATTATTATATATCTACTGACCTAGACCTAGAAATACCATTTCATTTGAATGGAGGGGAAGGGGAGGAAGTGTGCAGGGAACTGAGAGAAGGGTAAAAGAATGAAGAAATAATTGGCAGTTAGAGCAAATGGTTTCACTTCCTCTGACATGCAAGTTGGTCACAGGACTTTTACAGAATTTCTTTCAATTTCTAGCAAGTTAGTTATGTGGCCAGAACACAGATTTTGCATGATTCTGGGACATCTTTGGTGAAATGATGCAGAAAACTTTGACAGGCTGCTTGAGGAAAGAGAAATTGTTACCAATATGGAGCCTTGTGACAATACTTCAGGAGGGAGGATTTCCTCTCAGGTGGGCATTATGTATCAATACAAAAGTTATAAACTGCAGAAGGTGTTTAGTGAGGCTCAAATAAACATTTGTGGGAGGAAAAACAAGACCATATTTTTCCTTATATGAAGTAGTACTGGGATAATTAATTTAGCTTCCACTTGCTGTTGTACTTACTTTTAAATTTGCTTTTATCCAAGTCTTCTAACTGATCTTCTCCAATCAGGATTTTAGCAGCAACTTCAAGGCTCACTATTTGAGGTGTTGATACAAGAAACAGCATCACAAATTTCTGACTCATCACTCGTAAGGACTTGTATTTCCTGCCATTCACTGATGCTGCAGCAGACAGGAAAAAGGATTAAAGTATTCAGCGACACACCAGCTACAAAGATAAAACACTGAAGAAATTTGTCAGTAATAATAATTTTAAGAATAACACAGAGACTAGGCAGGGCCAATGCTGACTCCAGAATCATGTTTCTACGTGACAAGAAACAGATGATTGATTGGGTGGATACCAAGTCTACATATACATTTCCCATTATCTGACAGCTTGTACTCTTAAAGATGCTTAACCCTTAATTAAAATTTCTTCCATGAATCAAAGCTAAATTAATAAAACAAACTGAGGAATTTATGCTTCAAGTTTCTGCAACATTTAGTAGTAACTTCTGGTTTCTATGACAATTCAGTGGTAATGGCAATTGCATTATATGTTGGTGTATTTGATAGTTTCACCTGATGTAGAAACAAATTACAAGAACTGAACGAATAAAGCAAATCAAAGTGCAGAGCACTTTTTCTCACTACAAACAGTTGTGGTGCCTTTGGGGCAGCACCACCTCCGAAAAAAAAAAAAAAAAGTAAGGCTAATAAATGGGGGTTTTTTCCAATTTAATAGAAATTTATCATTTTAAGTACATATTATTCTTAGCATTGTAGAGAATTATTACCAGCACGAAATTCCACTCCTGGGAGCTCGACAAAAGACATTTCTGACTGCTCACTTGAGCCAGAAGAACTTGCCATTTCTTCATTCCTTTCCGCGTCAGGATCGAATTCATGCTCATACTCTCTTTTCTTGATCATCTGGATTTGCTGTATGTACTTGTTCTCTTCCCCCACCTTTTTCAGGGCCTGCAGGGTCTGGGGGAGGTTGTGGCTCCCGTGCCAGACGTATCTGTTCCTGGCCAGGCGGCTCACCATGTGCAGGCTCTCCAGCACGTTCACAATGTCATAGATGCGCCTGCGCTCCACGTCTGCAGAGGGAAAGGTGAACCTGACAGCTCTGCTATAAAACACGTGTGCACTCATGCATTACCTGCAGCACAGAGTCCTGGCCTTCCTCTTCGTATACTCCCAAATCATTTTTGCCAATTCCATAGCACAAACTGAAAATAGCCCTCCCAGGTCTTGCCAGCAAGGAAAACAAAGCTTGCTTCATATATGCAAGGACTTGCTGTTCCAGAGTTATACTTGGCTTTCAGCATTCCTTAAGAAATAAAACTTACTGTTGCCAGAAGAGCCATTACATGGGTTTCAATCCAGCTTTAGAAAAAACAGAGCATTTTTAATTATTCACTGCATTGGTTCTAGATTGTGTCCTTAAATAACCTTGGAAACTCATGGTAGGAAACTGTTTTATAATTTCTTTTTACGTGTCATTTTATTAGCACACTCTTTTTTTCTCATTTGCATGATAAACTCTTGGTTTTGGCCAGACATTTCCTAAAAGTTATGTCCTTTTGTACAAAGTATACAGAAAGGTAAATCATACACAGCTTAAAAATTTTAAAACTGTTATCCATATATAAGCTGTAGAATACTGTAACTCCAGAACTTTTTTTGATTTCAAAAAGCTTCAGCTTGATGTTAGAAATATGGAATCTGCAGGGATTATTGGTGCAACATAAAAAATAGTGATCTAGAATAAGAAAGTTAATATACCATCAAGAAGAGACATTTCTTACTTTGATGACATGATCGGACAAGAAGCTGTGGACTCAGTTTAAGAAATGCTAGTTCCTGCTGCAAAAATCTACCACTAATCTTAGGTATCATCTCTGAATTAAAAAAACTGCAACTGGTTATTTGTGGTATAAGCAATAATTTAGATGTTCAATATGAAACAGAATTCAGATTTTCTCAGTTCAATTCACTGAGGAAACATCAACATTCTAAAAGAATTGCTGTAGGAATTAGCAGTTTAAAACTGGATTTAAATAAATTTGAAAACAGAGTATGCATCCAAAATCGTATAGAGCAAAAATAGACTAACAAAAATGGCGGGTTATTGGCCAATTTGCATGAATAAATATTTAATAGGATGAACCCCAACTTACGTAGCTCTTCAGTGACTTCATCAAGGCAAATGTAACTTTTCTGTGAAGGGCTGGGGTAATCAGGATACCGAGCTAAGAATTTATGACACAGTAATCCAAGACTTTTCTCTTTGCGACTTGGCTGAGATTTTTCATATTCATCCCCCAATAAGTGCTCCTACGTGGGAATAAGGAAAAGAGATTGTGAGGTTTTTGACAATATGTAAGCACAGATATTTAACAGCTTCACAGTGAGCACTGTCAAAGGGCCAGTGTTCTCCCTGTGTCCTCAGCAGCTGTGAAATAAAACCAGAACATTACCCGTTGAATATAGCTAGTCAATATCATTGCTCATATTTGGTAAATGCTCCAAAACCATAACTTTAAAAAAGATGTGCTGTGTCAATGGATAATTTTTATACTGAATAAACAGCTATCGGCTAACTTAACAAAAAAAAAAAAAAAAAGAAAAAAAAGAAAATACATACAGACAACTTTACAACATACCTGCAAACAGTGTTTTGTCTGTAGGACCTCACTTGAACTGTCTGACAGTTGCCTTCTCTGTTCTCTGCTCCTAATCTCAGGACTGGCTGCACTAATCAGCATTTTCAGGTTGGAAGTAGGTGTCCATGGATCTGCCAGAGGAGTTTCCTTCGGTTTTGGGGGAGTGGTTAGAGGCTGACAGTCAGGCTGTCTCTCTGTCAGTACCAACTGTGAGGTAGCCGCTTGTTTCAAAGGGGTTTTCAGTACATTTTTGCATGGCTCAGAATGCTCATTTTCCTACATGTCAAAGAAAAGAACAATGGTGATATTAACACCCAGGCGCACCATGATCCATTTATCAATAACAAAGGGGGATAGAGATATATCACATTTTTTGGGTAGTTCTGAGTCAAGGGTTCCAGTCCTACTCTGAGCCAATAAGTCCCTTTCCTAAAACCATTTCTGTGCCTGTAGCTAAGGCTCGGCTCCCCAGGCATTTATTCCTCGGGTAATTTTCCTTTTCCTTCCTCTGAGGCAAATATGCTAGTGCATTGCAGAGAGCTACAAATAATAGCTGAAATATATAACGACCCGGGAGCGGGTGTTACTTATAAATTCTTGTTGAGCTAAATAAACACCAGTTTGCATGTCAGGGAACTCTTACCCTTTATCATATAATCGCCTCAACTCCGGTGACCAGCCCGGTATTTAGGAAGTGGTGGCTAACAAGCTCTTAACTTTTACAGCGAACTTTAACAAGCTCGGAGAGGAGTAAGGGGCGGGATGTGATGGCGGGGCTAGCCGCGATGGAGCACGAGAGGATGAAGAGGGGAAGGCGAAGGAAAGGATCAGGAGCGATCCGCTTCCCTCAAGTTCCTTTCCCTCCTATTCCCCTCCTGACTTTTCGCGCCGCGTCCCTGCGCATGCGCGCTGGGCGCCGCGGCGGCCTCCGAGGAATGGGTCTGGGGTCCGCGGCGGTGCCGGAGCCGCTTTCGGGGCGCTGCCCGTGCCTCCAGCCGGGAATTGTGAGGGATGCGGGCTCGGCCCAGCGCCGCCCCACCTCCGCCGGACCCTCTTCCAATCGCAACTTCCCTGTCACGGCACCACAGAGTGTCCCGAGACAAACACGCTCCCAACATCGCTATCCCCGCTCCTCCACACACTTTCTGCTACAGGGAAAAACAAAGAGGAGAGGAGAGCCCGGAGAAACAAGTGTTCTTCACGGACGCCGTGGATAAAGGTCGTGAGAGATGAAGTTTCAGGAGCTTTTGTTGAGGACGGGAATTAAAGTGACGGTAAAACACGCTCGCTTTCCGCCATCCCGCGGTTTCTACGCGCGATCGTTCCGACCGAAGCGGTTTCACCCCAGCCGGGCTGAGCGGGGCTGTCACCGCCCGCGGCAAGCGGCAGCCCCGGGGCTCGGCTGCTCTCGCTCGGCAGAGGAATTACCTTGTCGCCGGCCCCCATCTCCCCGCCCGCCGGCCGCATTCTCCCGCCGCCTCAGGAGGCGACACCCGCCGCTCCCTCCGCGCCGCTCCGCATCGCAGGTCCCGCCGGCTCTGCAGGGCGGGAGGAGGGAGGGAGGCACTGGATGGGGGCCCCGCGACGGGCCGGGTCCCGCTGTCCCCCGGGCCGCCAGGCTCGTCCCGCCGCCTCCCGCCCGCCGGCCCGGCCCGCGCGCGCCCGCCGCCCAACGGCCCCGGCCCCGCCCCGCCCCGCCCGCTGCGGCCCAGCACCGCCCATCGGCGCAGCTGCCGGCGCCTTTAAACGCAGGGGAGACTCTCCCCCGGCGCCCTCCCGCTCCCGCCGCGCACCCCACGGTCCAGGAGCGCCGGCGGCCCGCAGGAGCAGCGCTGCCACCGCCGCCCGCCCCGGCTCGGCCGAAGGGCGGCGCCGCTCCCGGTGCCGATTTGAATTCAACGCGCGGAGCCGCCGCGGGCGGGTGGGGCGGGCGTGGCGGGCGCGGCAGCCAATGGGCTCGCAGCCCCGCGCCCCGCGCGGCCAATGGGAGCGCTGCGCTGCGCAGCCTCGCCCTCCTCCTCCCGCCTCCCGCTGCCGGGCGAGAGCCGGCGGGGCTCGGGCCGCGCCTTTGGCGGGGTCCCTCCCCCTCACTCTCGCTGCCTCCCTCCCGCCCCAACGGCCGCGGGGTCGCGGGGCGGAGCGGGCGGGGTCGCCGGGCGGTTTAGCGGAGCCCATTTACCCGCCGCTGCCGCCGGCTTCGCCCCGCCCCGCCCCGTCCCGTCCGTCAGGGGCCGCGCGGGCTGTGCGCGCCCCTCGCGCCTCCCGCCGCCGGCCGCGCGCCCCGCGCGCCCCTCACGGGGTCCGGCGCCCGTTCGCGGGGTCCCCGCGGCCGCCGCTCTGCGAAACGAGGGGATGAGAGGTGAATGAATGGCTGGGCCGGGGGCAGCGCCTCGATCGCCCCTGGCCAAGGGGGTTATTGCCCCCCAGAGAAAGGTCCCAGCCCTTAATTCCCTTATCGCAAAATCACAGAACCAGCTAGGCTGGAAAAGGCCTCTGAGGTCAGCGAGTCCAGTTTATGACCAACCCGGTTATGGCAGCGAGCGCCACATCCAGTCTTTCCTCCAACACCTTCAGGGACAGTGAGTGACTCCAGCACCTCCCTGGGCACCCCATTCCAATGTCTGACCACCCTTCCTGTGAAGGAATTCCTCCTAATGTCCAACCAAAAACCCCTGTTGACTCTTAAGACATCTTGTCCTGTCCCTCGTTCCCTGGGAGCAGAGCCCGACGCCCACCGGGCTGCACCCTCCTGCCAGGGGGTGCCCCTGACCTTATTGCAGAGCTTACGATACTTTTCTTCTGCAGGCAGCATCTGGGCTTTCAACCCACCTCGTCTCCACTGCTTTTTATACCAGAGCCAGGATTTCCAAACCTTTTAACGTAACTCTGTAATTTCTTCTGAAAGGCAGGTCTGAAAGCTTGTAAACTCAAATGAAAAAATCGACCCCAAAGTGACCTTCACTCCTTGGTATCACCAGCCATGTAGCAGCCAAGGGTTATTCTCTTGCAGTACCTATGTGCCACACCTTAAAAAGTGGGATTTGTGCGGACATTTGCTCTTTTTCCTTGTTTATGCTTTGATACAATTACTGTGCATTGGTTTCTTTCTATAAAATGTGCACTAGAGGGTGTGATTGTTGTAACGCAGAGCCACTAACAAGTAAAAATGTAAATACTAAAAAAATAATCTGTGTTTTTTCTTGACTCCCCCAACCAGGCATGACCACATGGAATTTGAGTTACTTAAATGAGGAACACTCACATGTTTCAAAAATCAAACCAGGGGGAAAAAATCAGGTTTTTACATTCAAGCTGTCATTTGAATATTTATTTAATTTATGTTGAGCTTTGAAAATTACCTTTATCAACTAGTCAAGAAGCCATTATCTCTGTTCAAACAACACACTCTTGTGACCTTTGTTCAGGGGACTTCTTGTCTGGTCTTCAAGTTAGCCTTATAAGCTGCCCATTACAACAATATCAGACATTTTAAAGTAAAGGTTTAAGGAATTTCCAAGGTTATAACGTCTACTGAAATAATTATTCTGTTAGTAACTTCTGTGCCTCTTTTACCATGCTCCTTACCATGAAAGTGCTTTTGTGTTTCTGAGATTATGGAATTACGTGGAGCAATAAAGGGCATTCTCACTTGCAGCCATCAATCGAAACTGTTTGTGTTTCCCTCTGCTCTTGCTTGACTTGCCTAAGAAACTGCAATTACGTTCTCTGCCAGGTACCTCTTAAAGGAAAAAGAACAAAGATTAAAAATTTTAATATCCCTGACATGGCAAACCAAAAGCACCAGTAGCTAGTTAATAATGGGCCCTTTAATGTGTAACCTTGAAGCTTTTTGTGTGATGATCCTTGTGGGGGATGTTTGCTGTTTTCAGGTATTGTGCTGAATCAAGACACCACCTGATGCCAGAAATCAGAGCTGGAGAGTGATAAGTGATTTTATCTATGCTGGTTCAGCTAAAGAGTTGCTTGTCGCATTGTCATGTGGATTAAAGAGAATGTTTGATGTATCCTAGAGGTTTGGTCAAACCAAATCACTGTTAAAGTGGTAAAGAAGCAAAGAATTTGTGAAATTAGGTGCTTCCAGTGCCTCTATTCTAGTTTAGCATCCCTCCTCACCTGCCTGTAGAAATCTTCCTCTCCCAGAAACAGCTTTAGCAATGCATTGTGCTAAAGAAAGTACTAATCTGGTTTGCACTGCATGCACTGCTCAAATTGTATTTCTTGTATGAACACATGTTGTCAATAATGGATTTGTTTCAGTGTGATCACAAGGCAGCAAAGTTCAGCATCTTGTGCTGGTGTGCTCCTAGATGTGGTGCTGGACTTCTGTCAAGAGGAATTGTAGTTAGTGGCTCACATAAAGAGAAAATACACACTACATTTTACTGGAGTCATTTTTATTAGGTAATTCCATGCATATGACCACTTACAAAATGCCCAGGTGGAATCTTCATCCTCGGGGTTACTCAAAAGCTCTCTGGAAGTGGTCCTGAGCAAGGGGCTTTAGTGACCATATTTCTAAAAATACTCTGTTGTAAAGTTCCAGATAATAATAATAATAATAATAATAATAATAGTAGTAGTAGTAGTAGTAGTAAATCAATGGTTGCATATTGAATATCACTACTGCGAATTGAAAATATTTTGTGATCTCTACAACCTTCAGAAAGCTGAACTTTCTGTGGCTTTATGCCCTGCTGTCAGCATGCTCAGACTATTTTAGGCTGCTTTCCTCAAGGAGCTACTTTGTTATTTCTCTTTCTAGGGCTGGAATTGTGAATTTGAACATCATAGCTGCCAGCAGGAGATTTGCAGGGAAGTGCCTCGAGTTCAGCATCCAGTTCCACTATTGAAACAGTGCCTGTGGGAACTCTGGCAAGTGATGCTGTTCATTGCATATGTCTCTTTCAAGTGTCATGTTTTCTGGTAATGTTTCTTTTATTCAAGTTAATTTTATAAGGCAATTGATACCTTTCATTTATTATACCTTATTTTTAATGTCTGATGTGTTTCAAGGAGAAGCTGCAGCCTTCTATAGGTGTGTACTTCTAGGCAAGAAGTTAACGATATAAGCAGACCCCCAAAACCCTCATAAATCTCTCAGTAGATTGGGTTAAGTATTTGATGTATCTTAAGTATAAATACTGAAATTATTACCTTCAATAAAAATGAAAAGAAGGCAGAGTAGTTTCAGGAGTACAAGGTAGTAGTCAGAAACCACAGTGCTTCCTTATTCACATGCTGCTGTAATGTTAATTCCTCACTTCAAAATTGTGATGAAATTTGTATTATAACGTTTATCCTTTTCTTCTCCTTGTCTTCGTTCTGGGCTGCGATGTAACAAAAATATATCTTCATTTCTGAGCTATGAATAAAGTTTTGCAAAGTGTGCAGATAACTTCAGGCTGTGCCTCTTGCAGGAGTGGCATAAGCACTTGGGTTCACTAGAGGTCACACTTCTTTTACTCCTCCCTGACTGCAAGACAGACTGCTGCTCCTCACAGAGATGTGCTGGCGGGCTGTGCTCCTGTCATGTTATTTACCCAGCAAAGTGACATTTTCCCTGCTATTTTTCCTGCCATATAGTTTTCCTGCTAGGATGAATTATTAGGAAAAGAAGATAACAGCTCAGAAATGTGTGTTTATTTAAGATCAAACACAGGGCACTTCCTTAGCTCTGGAACATTTAGAGCTAAGAGTTTAGAGTAGTCAGCAAAGAGCATGTCTGTACTTCAAATGCATTTTACTTTTTGTAGTCAATACAGAATTACAATTCCCTGTAATTCTGTACAGGGTATAGCAGTATTAAGTGGCTTTTTAATGATTTTCAAAAAAAAAAAACCAAAAAAAACCCCCAAAAAGCAAAATAAAAATAAAACAAATAACAACAACAAAAAACCACCCAAACCTTTTAAAGATTAAACTGAGAAATGATGACAAATAAATGACATGTGGCAGACTGAAAATGCAATATCTAAAAGTGATCTCATGGATTTTTATCAGACAGTATCTCCACAGGATTCAGTTGTCACAGAATCCTAAAATGGTCTGGTTTGGAAGGGACCTTAAAACTCATCCAGTTCCTCCCTTCCCCTCCCAAAGGAGTCCCTGCTGCCACCTGCCAGCCTGGGGACTGCTGTGGTGGCAGGGAAAAGTGATGGGGAGGAATAATTGGCAGCCCCAAATCCGTGTGTGGGAGCAGCTCTCAGTGCAGGGCACAGCACCGGGTTGGGAGGTGGCAGTGCCTGCTCCACAGTGCCCTGTGGAGTGCTCTACTCCAGTCCTACCTAATTCTGTATTCATTAGTCTGCATAAAATTAAATCATATTAAGGCATATTATTGAACAAGCTGATTTAATTTAACTGGAGTTTATTTGCTTTCAAGTTGTTACATTATCTTTTAAAATTAGGCAAATTAAATCAGCTGGTCAAGCTCTGAGGTGAAGGCTGAGAAGGAAACATACCCAAAACATTATGAAAACATGGATTCCTAAACAAACAAATGCCTTTTTCAGGCATGCTAATTTCAGGGAATGCTAATGGAAACTTAATGCATGCACCAGAAACTACACTGCAAGAATATTAATAGCATAGGAAAATAGAGATACAGTGTTTCAGTGCTTCACTTCTGTAGGTATATTTTTCCTGCTAGGATGAATTATTAGGAAAAGAAGATAACAGCTCAGAAATGTGTGTTTATTTAAGATCAAACACAGGGCACTTCCTTAGCTCTGGAACATTTAGAGCTAAGAGTTTAGAGTAGTCAGCAAAGAGCATGTCTGTACTTCAAATGCGTTTTACTTTTTGTAGTCAAACATTTCACAGGTAATACCATCTAAATTATTTTAGTGTACTTTAGATGTTGTTGTTTCAATGTTTCAGAGGTAAGTTATTTCCACTAGGAGTTGAGACTCATGACCATTTAAATGAGTTAATATTTTTGAGAAATTAAGAGGAATTCTGATTACCAAAGGGAAATATGCACACAAGTTATTCACAAGGATTATTTCCTGAAAGAGTAAGTTGGAGCAAAGGTCTGCTTGCTTCATGGTCTTGAAGCAGAAGATTACGTTTTTTAAAATTATTTATACACCCAAGTTTTTTATATTTAGAGAAAAAAAAAAAAAAGATTGCTATTATATTGTTATTTGTGGGAGCCTTTGGAAGATCTTACTTCCCTAAGTGATGTGCTACTGAAAATGATTCATTTATTTTGTATTTGTTCTGTCACTTATTTGTAGTGGAATCCAGCATGGATTCTTAAAGCAGCCTATGAAGCATTTTTCTTAAGACCTGATCTTAATTTGTTCTTGTCAACAAGCAGCATCTAAGTACTCATTTAAGAGGATTCCTACTGCACAGACACATCCAAAATTTAATGTTTGTTTAAAACACAGATTCTTATACAAATTCCTTCTCCCCTCAATTCTTTAGCTGAGAAATGACACATGTAATTTTCAATGGCATGTCAATAGCAGAATACTTTGTACTGTGGGATTAACAAAACAGACTACACTGACATTGCACAGACACTTGTCACTGCTCTGGTTCAACTGAATAGATTCTCAATATTCTCATGCCAAATTGTTTGCCATAACTTATTGAGTCAGAATAATGTTACATTCACATCAAGATATTTTCCTCTACTGCAAAATGACTGGTTTCAGAGGATTTACATCAGGAAGGAATTTAGTTTGAGAACGCTAATAGTATTTTCTATTTGAAGACTTTTCTCCATGTCAGTGTAATTCTCCTTTTCCTGAGTTTTTGTACCATATCATATTTGAAAGCTGTTTCTTTGAGTTTGCTCTTTGCATGTTGCACTTAAACCTTCTGCCCAGCTCTGCCTTTCTAACTTGGGCCACCTTTGCATCTTCTTGCTCTGAAGGTTCTCTTGCTCTAACTTCTGATGGCTCATTAGTTCCACACTGATCCTCTTTTAAGCCTGCTCTTGGTTATTCCCACTCACAAAGGGGGTGTTCTTGCAGGCTGCCTACAATCAGTACATGGCAGGCACCTGCCCAGGGACATGAGTGTGCATTGTAATCATCTCTAAGTTTGTGATGTATGGCTGGACACGCTGGACAAGGACTCAGCATTCCTCTTGCCTTCCTTCTGCCATCTTCCCAGCTGAAAGGACTGCCTACGGAATGACCTTCTGCTTTTCCAAAGTTATTCAGCACCATATGCCATGTATCCAGACTTCCTTGGAATAAGTAGATATGAAAGGCTTAGCTTGTCTGTGCTGTGGATTCCACGTTGTGGAATGGGTAATAAAAATTCCTGGCTTCTTGGAAATGGCATGCATTATAATGGCATAAAGGGAATAGGGGATTCTGAGCTTCTTCCGTGTGCAATTAAAAGCAAAATTCTGTTATGAGTTGAACACAGACTTTTCTCTCCATTAGCTAGTTTTTTTCCATGTCTTTTGCATGTAAAGAGAGTTGTTCAGCACTACACACATAACCTTTTTCTTTTTTCCCCTATGAGAATCTGCTTGAATGCAATAAATCCACCACAAAGCCCATAATACCCGAAATAAACTTTACTTGCACCTGCCATCTTCTATTCCAAATACCATCTCTATTAAAACACTCCTCAATACTCTGTATGTAGCATCTCAACCAAACTGAATTATTTCATCTGTCACGAAGGGATTAAACATGTCAACAGTAATTATCTTTGCCTTAATCTCTGGCAGTTGATTTTCCTTAAATATGCTCAGAGGTTCATTATAACTTTCTCACTGAATCTCTTGCTGCATAAATCTACCAAGGTATCACTTGCTGGCATAGCAAGTGCTGACACATGTATCCACTCTTGCAAACCCAAGATGGTCAGGAGGGTTTTGCGCATAAATTCTATTCTGTGTTGTTCTAGTTAAAATCCCAGTGGAGTTTACACTTTGCTTGGAAGCTTGTTAGGCTGCTGGAAAGTGATCCTAACCTATGAGAGGACTGAGAATTTTTGCAGAGCTTTGTGTTATTAATATGAAATACTTAGTGCTTTGAATTCTAATGGCAGTCAAGCTTTACTGGCAGACAAGCTTTTAACTAGAAGAACTGGCAGTGAGGACAAGAGAGCAAGCAAGAAGAATTACTAACCTGATATTTAAATTTCATAGATTTTTAAAAGATACATGACCCCCAAGCAGTGGGCTCCTGAGAGTTTCAGTTCATACAATGACTGAATAATATTTTGTAGACAAAATATTTCAAGTGCTATTTTTTCAAAACCTACTAGTAATTCTTGCTATTAAAAACAGTTTAACTTCATGTCATGATTAATTAACAAGTTTAGTTACTTAAAATGACTATAAAATATCACTTACCAACACCTTGAAATAAAGGTTTTGATAAAAAATCACAGAAGTCAAGAGAAATAAAAAATTTTGTTAATATCAAGTTTTAAAGGGTGGTGCTTTTTTAATATTAAAGCCATGTTTCACTCTTTTGAAATACTTGTACTGGAAAAAAGTGCATCATCAAATATACATTAACCTAAAACTACATGAAAAGATAAGTACAGTCCTCTGTTATTAAAGAAAACTTGTGTTTATTATGTTTACACTATATTCCTGCTGGAAGGCTAGCAATTAAAGCTAATAACTAGACAAATACATTTAGGGTTCTCTCTGGACATTACAATATTCCAGATAAGGTTTTTGGCATAGGCAGTACAATGCAGTAAAATACTTGTGCTCCAGGAAGGCATAGAGGATGACAAATACACATTGTGCTGTGCCCATCAGAATAAAATCCTGTTTGCTCTTCTTGGCAGACTCTCCAGTTCTTCACAGAAATGGTAAATCTCTGAGGATATTTTCTTGGGAAGACACAAAAAAACCCCTCCTAAACAATAGCATTAAATGCATTTGAATATTCATTTCTTAGCTATCTTGTTCTGTTTTGTTTCTTCCCCCTCAGAGAATGCAGGAAAATGTGTGGTGCACTAACAAAGAGCCTTTTTTTTTCCTTCTGAATAATCTGACACGGGGAAATTCTGCATGCAGTGACGATGATGATGAAGTGGGGTTTTCTCTGTGAATCCCCTGCTGGCTGCACTCCAGAACGTGGGCTGTCAGTCAGGTAGGGGCCATGTGCAGGGCTGGCTTCTCTTCCCCCTGAAGTGTTTAGCCACAACGGAGAGTTGTCCATTAAAATGACAGGGGCCTGGAAAGAGCTGGGCAGGCTGAGCTCCGAGATGGTGCAGAATGGGCTGTGAACAGGCAGGCAGGCACCTTTTCCAAGCACCATCTACCCTGAGGGAAGCTCCCTGAGCATCCTCACCAGCCAGGAATGCCTTCGTGTTAGTTTAATGAAGGCAAGCTCCTCCTGAGAGAACTTCGTGGCATGAAATGATGCTCTGCAACGTGTGGTTTGTCACCAGGCTGGGACAGCAACCAGCTGGTTTTACACCTATTTCCTCCTGCTGTTTCTTGTCTGAGTTACAGCAGCATCCAGGAGCATCAGCTGAAATAAAGTCTGTTTTCATATGGTGCTCACCACCACAAAATACACAAGGATGGGTTTTCCAGCAATCAGGTTCTTATTGGAAAGATGGCCTTAGATCTTCTAGAATTCTTGCTCTCTTCTGTTGATTGTGGACTTTAGATACTGAGTCCCTTCCCCCTAGCCAAGCCCATTCCACCTTCCCATTCCAGCCTCTCCAAACAGCTGCCTCTGTCTGTGCCTGGGATTATTTTAAACTTTCTTCATTATAGATAAGCAAACATTTATTGGGCCAGAGTGAAAAAGCATAAGAATGTGTCACAGCACCTTCATCTGTGAGAATGTACTCCTGGTGCCTTCAGTGATTACTTCACACAAAGTACCTGGTTAGCATAGGGCAAGAATGGCAGTTGGATTCCCTCATTTTTATATTGTAATGTTTTTCTTTTTCTTTCCTAATAAAAAGTCAGTTATGCTTTACAAGTGAAAGAGTTTCAACCAAAAACTGTTCTCCTGTGCTTAAGGCCGTCATAAGAAAACAGGACAGAAAAGTTCAAATGTCCCTGTGTAGAGATGAACTTCAACTATCTTACTAGGGAGGATTTCCCTAGATTAATTTCATGGAATGGAGCAGAGGTACTATATTCTAGAAGATGGTGTAGACCAAAAAATCCTGAGGGAAAGAAGTTTCTGCTTATCAAAATTACAGAGGCCTGGGAGGGTGAGGGTTCAGCTTACTCAGTATGTTAAGAGCTCAGTTTTTTACCATCTCTTGAGCTTGTAGTAGCAAGAATATGTTCTCTTTATTCATTTAGCCTAGATACCCATTGCTTTCTTAATCTATTTAAATTACTATCTTTACATTAAGAAAAGGTAAATTCTGAAGTGTTTTTTATCTTGAGGGGGGAAGATTGAAAGATTCAGACACGTCTCTGTTCTCCGTTTCCCCACATTCAACAAATCTGTGCAAGAACAGATTCAACAAATCTGTGGAAGTCAGCACCACTGCTGGTTTTTAGTTCTCAACTCAACAGCTGGATTTCATCTGAACATATGATCAAAGAGAGACACTATCAGGTAAGCAATGCTCAATATTTTTCTTTTAGAATGTATAGTATGCACAAACTAGCATTGACAGACAAGTTTCAAGCAATTAAATAGATGAATCAATGTCCTGATTAAAGCAGGAGATTTGGGTGGAAGCAGGGTCAGGCTCATTCTGTTATGAAAAGACAAAAGCTCCCTATTCTGTGAGCTTCAGGGAGCAGAGATGCGCTCCCAAAGGAAATACAGTCTGACTATGGATTGGTATTGACATGGAAAGCTATTTCTGTGTTGGAAAAGACGTGATGGAGGTTTTATGTACCAAAACTCACCAATTACCTTGGTGGCAGTGCTAGTAGTGCCTTAAGTGGCCTTTTCACTCAGGCCAGATTGCTGTAGGAAATTTTGTTTTCCTTCACCTAATTGCTGGAATGAGGCTGAGTGTGTCCAAAGCCAGTCTATGGGGATGGTTTGCCAGGGTGAGTGACAGGCTGTTGGGTTGGAGATAAGCATGTTTCTTCAGCTGTTTGCAGAAAGTCCTGCCTCATGTTGAATCATTTCTCTCTGTAATCAGCAAATCACAGATCAAGATAAACACTGGTATGGAGTCAATAAACCTAATTTTTATTTTTATAATTAAACTTGAGAGCCACCTGATTCTGCATTGAATCAAGACTATAATTTCAGCAGTAAACATCTGATATTTTATTGTAATGAGGAAGCTAAATATGAATAGAGCCACATTTTTGATTAATTAGAATTTTGTTGCCAAGGAATTAATCTGTTTTCCCTTCTCTGTGGAAGAAAACCCCAACCCTCTCTAAAATGAGTTTCTCAGTAGGGATAATTATAGAAATGTTGAGTGAACTCCAGCAGCAGACATGTTTCAATGTTTCTTTGTTTTCCTGAAGCAAGGGGAATATGGGAGAGAATAGATGACCATTAAATACTGACTATGGCTGTTACTTTTCCTGATTATAGCATAACACAAAACCTAGTCCTGGACCTAGGACTTCCCAGCCACTCAGCTATTTCTGGGTGAGACAAGAGCGAGTTTAGCTCAGGCTGTATTAACTCAGACCCATATTCATGCAGAAATGGCTCCAGGCTAGAAGTCTATACTAGTTAGCTGCTGCTGTATCAACAGAAGAGCTGCTGTAGTAATACACTGCATGACTGTGCTTCCTTGGATGATCCTTTGGACTGATTCCCATCTTCTCATGAGGCAATGGGGGTGATGCTAGCAGAACTGACAAGCCCCCAAACTGAGTTAACTGTACTGAAGTAAACTTTGCTGAATTACTTGTGATTTATGGATGTGAATCCATTTGTGCACACGGCAAGCTAATGTGTAATTTCCATGGTTATGAAACTACTTAGTATCTTAAAGCATTGCTTTCTGTCATTACTTATGGCAGCAGGGGATGCATTTCATTTCTCCTAAGGTTAAGGGAAGAAATGCTTTTTCTTTGCTACAAAAAGCTACCACACTTGCAGGATTTGCAATAAGCAATGTGCCTGTTGCCATGTTCCCGCTTTAATATGTCTCTGTAGGATGCAGAAAGCTGAGTTCAAAATAGGGATAACCAGGCAGCATTAGAACATTCAAAAGGATACTGTCTCCATATCAGAAGTGCAGATCCAAATGCTGCAGTTCAAGCTCACCAATATTGATTCAGATGTGAGTAATTGAAACTTGCTGTCACTGCATGCTTCTAGCAAAGTGTGAAATTGAGGAACTGGAAGACAATACCAAACGCATGGATGCATGACTGCAGCCTTGAGTGCTTTCCTTGTGGGTGACTGAAGGATTTTATTGCCTGGCTACCCACAGAGGAGAGAGCAAAGAAACTCTTAGGCATGAGAATACTTTGAGTCCTAAACTTTACTTCTTCATTTTACTGTTAACTAAAAAAAAAAACCCCAACCCAAAGCCCCGTGTAAGTTTGATTAATGTATAATAAGCAGTTAAGTCTTGCTGTTAACATAGTTGAGACTCTACTGTTGATATTGTTAAATCTCTTTCTGTCAAAGAGGTATAATGTAATTTTTCTTGTGTGAGTGATGACATACATGGATTGAAAACTTGAACATGATGATCTGGGCTATTTCTTAGGAAAATGTTTGTGGTTAAATAAGGATTGGGTTGTTTTGTCCTCCAGCTCATACTATGCAAAGGGCTCTCCCCATACAGAAAAACTTGTCTGAAGATTTTCTGCTGTATTAATGATTTCTCCAGTTGTAGGGAGAGGGATGAAGAAAAAAAAGGTCCTTGTCCCTTTAAGAGCCATGTAAAAGAGCACCAAATAAGTTTGCTCAGTATACAGAGTTCTTGTCAATGAGGTATTAGTTCTTGAGTACTAGGTCCTAAATAGTGAATGGAAAATCTAGTATCTGCAGTAAAATATAATAGACTGTTCTGTGTTAGGTCTAGCTAGACCCTGAATATAGCAACTTGGTAAGAAGCTACCTCCAAAGACAATTTCTATTTTTGCCTGTTTGAGCAAGCAGGACATGGTTTATTTTGAGCTACAAAATTTTTGTGAACTCAAATTTTATCCTTCTAGGACAGGGAAAGTAATTTTATTCCATTCTGGTCAGGTACATTTATGTCTCATGGAAACAGGGAACAAATGCTATTTAAATTAAAGTACCTCAGTATACATATTTATCATTTCCTGCATCCTTTTGAAAAAGTACAAAATGTTGTACACATCCTAGGAATTGCAGCCAAACAGTCTTTTCACTCTAAGAGGAAGTAAATGAATACAGTGAATCCAAATTTCTTCTCTGGTCAGTTCAAAATGCAGGTATCCTACTAAAATCCATAATCATCCTTAACTCTGAAACCTTGTAAACATCTGGTTATGAAGTGAAACAAACAGTAGGTTGAAATTGACTGCTAACTCATGCATATATTTTGTTTTCTTTCTTGCTTTGATTAATATTTTATTCCTAAACAATGTTTTGAACACCTCTGAGACTATTGTTACAGGAGCTATATTGTGAAACAATGACAGATGGTGAATGAGGAGAACCTTTTTCATAAATCATTTCCCTTTGCAATGCTTTTATTTTATCTTCTGTAAAATAATTAGGTAAAAATATAATATTCTTTCTGGTACTAATGAGAAAATCTGTAAACAAATGAATTCTTTGACTCCAGGCAGTTGCATTTTACCTACCATCCTTCAAAATTTAAAAAAAAAAAAGGTATCAGAAGCTTGAAGTGGTGTCTCTTCCTGGTTGCTAGCAAATTTGCTTCTTCTTCTTTCACAATTTCATCACAGATACAGGCTTCAACCCTTCCAGTGTTAATATTGAAACTGCTATTTTGGGTTAAAAAAACGTCCTTCCAGTCTATTAGAGTGTAACAGTATCATTTCATTTCACATGCTACCTCCTTAAAAGGTTGTCACAGCAGCAGTAAACCCAAGATTAGTTAAAAGCCATGACAAAATTGTAACATTCTTATACATAAGAAAACAGGCGATGAAAGATTTCCACCCCACTGAAAATTCCTGCTCTCTTACATCTTCTTAACTGACACTTAGTGCTTGGATAATAATGAGCACATAGGAAAAAAAGATTATAGCTTTATGTTAGTGACAGTAGAGTTATGGCTGAAGAGCTGCTTTCATTCTAAGCCTTCATTTTCAGCACTTACAGCTTCTGAATATATTACCCTTTGGGCTTCCATTATACATGCTTGCTTTCCTCCCAAAAGGTGGTTTGTGACTTTTTTGTTTAGTCTTTTTTTTTTTCATTACATTTTCTTGGCTATTTATTTGATATCTAAACATGGAGGAAAGTATCCTCACTATTTCATCAATAGTTCAGATTTTATTTCCTGCACGTTGGTGCTGGTGTTTCTGCAGAACATCTGTCTTTGATACAGTAGAGGAAAATTATTTTATAGATAACTATGTAAAGTTCTTAAAACCTGCCTCTTCTGTTTTGGTTTTTACTTCTTGAAATAAGCATGGAATTTGTCCTTAGAAAAAGAATCCTGATGCGTGATATCATAGTTAAAAATGGAAATGTGTGCTAACTTATTCACAAAGTTTCTCTGTGTGAATAGTGGCTACACATATCTGAGTAAAAAGAATAGATGATTTCTGACAGTTTAGAGCAGGACTTCACTCTCCTTTATGAAGTGGTGGGAAAACAGCATCTGTTTCACCAAGTACGATAAATAAAGGCCAGACTTCATACACAGTTTCAGTTTTGGATTTTCTAATGCTCACAAACAATAACCTCCCTTTATTTATGTACAGTTTAGATTAGTGGGCCTGATCTAGGGAAAAGGATGAGGAATCAGGAAAGTCAAACCCACTGCTACGGGTTCCTGATGGAGGCCCCAGCTGTCAGCCCCAACAATAATAATTTCAGTCTCCTGGCTTTCAGTGGAAATGGATTAACTCAAAAGATGAATTAACATCAAGGGTTTTGTATTTGAGTGAGAAGCTATTCCATGTGCCTGTGCACATGCACAAAAAGAATGAAGGATCAGCAAAAAGAACCAGAGATCATTAAACACAAACAAAACCCCAATCCTGAGTGGGAAGTTTCTCTCATACAACCATCATTTACAGTCTTTCTAAAGTTCTTTAAGAATGTGAGTGTTGTTTATTTGAGAACTTTTATAGATACTTTGTTATGTTTTTAACTACTGTTAGGTACAGGTTCAATAATATACCAGTATTGTCCATTGTAATTCTAAAACAAAAGGGTTTTTTGTAGAGAAAAAATCATCTGGAGATAGCAAATTGTTAATATTTGTACTACTTGTGTTCCTAGGACCAACTTTTCTGTAGTTCTTGACCCAGCTGGGACTGGCAGTAGCATCTCGAAGTAACAAAACATATCTGAGTAAGGTCCTCCTCATTCTTAGGGCCTCTCCAAGGCCATAATTTCACAGGGAAGATGGTCCTGGCAATGCTGCTGAATTCATTAGGACTGGGAATATGGTTTGTTTGTTTGCTTGCTTGCTTGTTCCTATTAGCTATGCCCAATTAAAAAGCATTTAAATAAACATGTGAAGACTTCAGAATTGTCATGTCTCAGGCAGTGAGAATCCATGGAGCTCCCCTGACGAAGGACATAAACAGATATTAACTCTACAGAAATACTATCTTGTCTTTCCAAGTTAACATGGGGTGTTGTGAGGAGAGATAGATCAAGGAAAATCCAAGGCTGTGGAGCACTGCAAGCTGTGAGCAAAACTCCCACACTCATAAACCTAACCATGACATCTGACTGCTGCTAGAAACAGCATCTCTTTGGAACAAGGGGTAGTTACGACAGAGATCCCATAAAAGTGATGGCCTCAGAAATACATGGGCTTCTTCTAAAAGAAACAGTATGAGTCTAAGACACAGTACTATCCCTTCTCTTCCTTCTTTTCCATAATTTCTCCCCCCCTCCCCTTCCTCAAATCTCTCACAATAGCTTGGTCAACAGCATTTTCTTGCTTCATTGGTTTTGAAAAGGACTTGCTCTTCCCTGCTGTTAGATTATTTCCAGGAGACCGTCTCAGGTCAATAGTCATAACATTCTTTGCTCCACTCCCCCTCTCCCCCACCCAGAAAGAAAAATAATAAAATTAAACCAAAATAAATTAACAAATTAAGTTTGGAAGTGGAAAAGGCAAGCATGTTTGTGTTTACAGGATTGGTCCAGCAACTTAGGGTATGGATTATTTTTGTGTTCAAGAACCTGGTCTCTGCATGCAATTCCCATAGAGAAATTTCTCCTACAAGGCATAAACAGTAACAATTAGTTTTCAAGTGAAATTACCAAAGAAATACAGAGACTTTTTATTGGTATTTATTTTATTTCAATCCTCAAGAAAGAAAAAGATTCCTTCCTTCAAAAAACCTAGGAGACATTGACTGTAAAGAAGAACTTAGCCAAAATAAACATCATGCAGTTGTGGTTACCTTGGACCTTGAGGTTCTCTAGGTTTTTTCCCTACTCTTCTTCAGCTTTAACAGTGTATAAAAGGGCAGAAAGATGTTCCCCTAAGGCACAAGGTGATGAGCACTGCAGAGGGCAGGTCCTGCCCATGCCGTGGCTCCTGTTCTTTCTCATGCTCCTGGTTCATTCAGCTCTCATGGTAACGACTGGTTCATACACAGAGGTGTTCAGTGCACGTTTCCCACCTGGGGCTCACCTCCAACTGTTCTTCCCTCCCCCTGCATATCTTCTGCATTTAAAGGTGTCACAGCTTAGGACTGCCAGTATAAAATAAATGTATTCGGTTTGTTTGGCACTGCAGTAAATTCCGGTAAATGTTCGGATGGGCTTTAATTTTCTGTAACTGCTTGAACTGATTCAAGTAGCACGGGAGCAGGTACTCACAAAGAAAGAAAGACAGTTCCTGTTAACTGAAATGAAAATTTAGTTATATGGTGTTTAAACAGGGCAAGGTGTGATAACTAACAACCATTGATAGTTTTACAGTTAACAAAAAAAGGGAAAGATCATAGCAGGTGGATTTGACAGCAGCAGGAGTAAACAAGAAGACAACTCAGTATCCAGCTAATCTGTCGTGGGAACAAACATGTTACCTTTATTCCTTTATTCTTCAAAATCTGATTATAACTGTCTTTGATGTACATTTTAGTTGTTATCTGTGTGTGCTACTGTAGGGTCACAGAGTTATCCAGCAGCCAAGATTTTTGTAGTGAAGCCCGGTTTGGGAGCTTGAATTTTGCAGACCTATCAAAAGCTTCCATTTTTTTCTTTTCTGTATATTTTTTTGCCTACTTATAATCTATATACTGCAGGAGCAAAGAGATTGTTTTGATCTTATATTCATTACCACTCATTAAAACTTTTAGTTCAAGTTTTTGCTTGTACTTTTGTAGCTGAAAAATTCAGTTTCTGTTGATGACAACTGCTGGTGCACAAGCATCTGCTATACAAAAGGTTTTGGGGGAAAAAAAAAAAAAGAGAAGTTTTTGCTGGAACAGCCCCTATTTCAAAGATGGTTGTCTTGCTCATACAAGAAAACTAAACATAAATGTATCAGATAATTATCCACATATTGAGGGAATGTCTTAATTTGAAGCTGTGGAGAATGACTCAGGGTATGTGACTTTCTGAGTTGAAGTTTTAAGTTCTGGTTCAAGCCAGAAAGAATATAAATTCTTTGAGTCTGGACCTTTTGCAACACACAACTGTTTGTTACCCAAAGGTATTTCACTGAGTATAACTCAGTGAGGGGCTGAGGGTGGAAGGCATCTCTGGAGGTCATTTAGTTTAGCCCCCTGCTCAAACAGAGTCAGCCACATCAGAAACCTGTTCCTGCATTTCATCACACTTAAAGAAAGAAAAAAAAAAAAAAAAAAACAAAAAAAAAAAAGAAAAAAGCAAAACCAACCCAACAAATACACCAAAAAAGAAAAAAAAAAACCAAAACACAACCCCAAAAAAACCCAAAAAACATCAAACCAAGGCTTTAAAAATATTGAACCAGATTTTCCTGTATTTCAGCTCAGGCCCATTTCTTCTTGTCCTTTCACTAGGCAGCAATGAGAAGAGTTTTGCTTTGTTTTCTCCCTGCATCCTTATGGGAATTCCCACACAGTTTTACCTATTTCAGTGGAAAGAGATGAGGAAATGGTGTGGGATGCCTGGATGCCTGTGATGCCCAGCTGTTTATTTTCAGAAGAAGCCTTGGGAGTATTCACTCTCTTTCCTGATACAAGAACAAGAGGCTCTGCCTGGCTCAGGCTATGAGCTACAAATTGCTGGAAGCTGGGACTACACAGTACATAAATGTAAGTGTGCTTGGTTTGCTCCTGTATCTCCTCACAGACTTTGGTTACTGAGCTCTGCTGGGGATATGACTTTGAACAAAACTGCATTTTGGCATGACTTGGTACATCTGCTTTTACTTTCTAAGACTTTAGAGAAGTTTCAGAGGGATAGATGCCCTCCTACAGGAAAGAAAAAAATGCTCCTAGATGTTTATCTTGAAGCTAGATTATTATAATTGTAAATAAAGGCTAATATGCATGTATTATAACCCAGGTTTTGTTTGCTTTTTATAGAGTGTGAAATGAGCTTCCACTGGTAATTGCAGGTTTTCTTGATTGATGTGAAGCTATTTTTTTCTGTAAGCAGATACTTCTCAGTTTCTAGCTTTGTTCAAAGTATGAATAATAAAAAAAAAACTATTTGGAAAAAAAATTGAATTGCAAAGAGGCTCATTTCCTTATGCCTCAGGACAGTAAGAACTTCTGAGTTAGGAAATTACATGTCCTTAACATGACTGTTGACTCTTGCATTGAATGAAAGCTGTACATCAAGAGGGATCTCTCATTACATGATTACAGCACATATTCTCCTTGGAAGACACAAGGCACTTCCCTTTTGGATCCTGCTTATGAATTTTTACAGCTTGGAGAACTGCAAATGTGCTTGAGAGGAAAGTGTATCTGTGACCAAGGGAAACACAAAAGGGGAAGAAAAGTTGCAAGACTTCACAGACCTCCTGAAATTCCATGTCCCTGTGCATCAAAGGCTTTGCCTCCTTTCTGAAAGATGCTGTCTTCATCACTGCACGTGATACTGCATCCTTTGGGATTCATTCTGCCAGCTATCAATAGAATTATTTATATACAAAACTTGTCAGGTTAGCAAAGGCACAGGAATGCAGCTGCTCTTTAAAGAGGTAAGTGCATTTATATGTTCTGTACATTGTGCATTCCAGTGAGAACTAAGACTTCTTTCCTTGTTGTGTCCTCCGTGTTCAGAGACTGGGTTTGATTCTGAGCAGGAGAGCATTTCTCCAACTCTACAGCCCTGGCTATGTGACTTCAATGTGGTAATTTGTAAAGAAAATCCATTTCAGTACAAAAAGTGTTCTGTAAAATCTGTTACCTCTAAAGGCCGAAATTAACAGAACAACACTTTTTTTTTTTTCAGTCTGATCTATTCCCTGTTTATTTCTGCTACCATGTTGTCATTGCATCCAATCTGTCTGTATATAAGCTTTTGTAAACACTTCTTACCAATTTTCCAGTACTGTGAATTGCCTTGAAGGCACATGGGATAGATAGAAAGAGGAAAACAGGGGATTTTCCATATGGTCTGAATAGTATATGATATTTTGAGAAGGCTATTTCCCATTTATATCCATTCATCTCTTTGAATTTCAGTCTTTAAATTATTACCTTTACTCTCAGGACTGCTGTGAGGCTTAATTCATTAATGTCCATAGAGTGCTTTGAAATCCTTAGATAAAAGAGAGTATAGAAGTGGAAAATATTAAAGCAAAAATGTGAAGTCACAACCTCTCTCTTCCTTACCTCACCTGTTCATGAAGATCTTTATAATCATATAAACTTACCTTAGAATCAAGGCAAACATATTTTCCTTTGATGTACAGATAACATAAGGTTGCAAATGCCCATTTTTAAAATAATCTTTTTCATATTAACAAATTTAATGTAAAAACTTCTTAGCAATGTTTTAAATCTTCTGTTCTGTGCTTCCCCAATTAAAAATGTGGTCCTGGTTATATCCAGCTGAATTTTGTAGGTCTGCATCAATGCTGAAAGATTTACACTGCTCTCTCTATAGGCTCAGATTAGGAAAACAGAAGTTCCTCTACCAGGTTTATATCACTTCAGACTGCAAAATAATTGGCCTAATATGATCTTGTCAAAATACATAATTTTGTTTTCTAAATGTGAACCATCTTCTCTATCTTAAGATCTGCACTGGTTTCTGTAAAGCAGATTCCTCATTTTCACGGAATGATTGGATAATTCAGGTTAGAATGGCCTTAGAAGATCTCTAGTTCAAACTTTTGCTCCAAGCAAGGACATCAGATCAGGTTTCTCAGTGATTTATCCAGGCACAGAGTATGTTTGCCTACCAACTTCTATCTGGAGCCACCAGGTCATCCATTAACTCAGTTGCCTCTGTTTCCATCTCTGAAGCTGTAAGACTGTCCATGGCCATTCTCAGTAACTTCTTTTTCCCTAGAAAGAAGATTGGAGAGAGGGGAGAGCAGGGTAAGAACTGTTAATAAGCCTCAGTCATGTTAAGGACATGTAAGTAAACTTTTTGGAGACCTTGGAGTACACATATTTAAGGACAGAGTCAGAGCAAGGAAATAAAGGTTGCCACCTCAGCTTCTTGGTTTGGATATTGGAAGTCCCATTCTCCAGGCCTGCTAAAAGAAGAAAATCCCTTTTGGCTGTAGCCACTAACTAAAATCTGTGGAAAGCTGCTTTTTCCAGGCATTTGTGATCACCCTCATGATATACATGAGGCATCCCATCCCGTCTTTCACTGCCTCCAAGAGGAAAGGCTCAGTTTCCTGTCTTCTGAGTCAGCATGAAAAGACTGACCTGCTGCAGAAGGTTTCAGTTTTCTCTCCAGTGCTGATCTTACAGCCCCTGGCTGGGCAATGCTTTGTGGGATTGCAATCTTTACTGACAAACAGGATGGAGAACTCTTCAGCAGCAGGGAAATCCTCACCATTCAGTGCTTTGTTACAACATTCCAGATACCCAGATTGTCCAAGAAAGAGCAGCCAGTCATGTCTTCAAAAAGATAGTGTCTCTCATCTTCCCAGTGGAGTTCATATTCATTTCTGACAAAAGCCAGTGTATTTCAGAAATTCCCCTTTCTGCTGCTGCTGCTGCTGGGACATTATCCTGTTCTTCCAGTTCAGCCATTCAAAGTCAGTAGGAAAGTTTACTGACCTCTTTATTTGCAGACAGAGCAGATATCTACAAGCCAGTGGTAGAGAGCAGCTAGTTTCAACCCATATTTAAATACTCAAATAAGCATATGGTAATTCAGATTTCTCTTTAAACTTCAGGTCTGAAAGTTTCTCCTGTATTACATAGGCATGTGTTGATAAAATCTGGAATTTTTAGTTGACTGTAATATTGCTACTAGATATTAGGCTCGGGCTGTTTTACCACCACTTCGTCCTCAAAGAAGAATTAATCATTGACTTAAGTAGAATGCTAATATGAATGATTGTGCTGTTATGCATATATTGATTTATTTAACTTTTTCAGCCTTCTAGGTCCCTTTTGAAAACAAGTTTAGCCAACCAAACCTAACAAGCTTTTACTTGAGTGTGTATAAATGTTAAGTAAACAAAATATTTTGCTGCTTATGCTTGCAGTATTCAGCTTCATTAGACATGTTTGTATGCAGTCTACGGCCTTTTGCAGAATACATGACTAACTTGTGAGGCACATTTCATTCAGATAAAAGAAAACACAGAGTTCTGGAGAACTCTTTTGAATGCAGCTCTCTCCCAAGGCACTCTCAAGGTGTCCTGTTCAAGCAAAACAGAGAGCTCAAATCTTGAAATCTGTGAGGAGAAAAAGGACTGGTTTAACCTGAGTCAGCAGCCAAGCCCTTCACAGCCCCTCACTCACTGCCCCAGCTGTGGGATCAGGGAGAGAATCAGAAGAGTAAAAACTTCTGGGTTGAGATAAAGACAGTTTCTTAGGGAAAGCAAAATTATGCACACAAGCCAAGCAAAACAAGAATTAATTCCCTGCTTCCCATGGGCAGGCAGGTGTTCAGTCACCTGCAGGAGAGCAGGGGCCCATCATGTGAAACAGTTACTTGGGAAGACAAACCCCATCACCCCAAATATCTCCCTTCCTCCTTCGTCCTCCCACTTTATATCCTGAGCTCAATTTCACATGGTCTGGAATATCCCTTTGGTCAGTTGGGGTCACCAGTTCTGGCTGTGTCTCTTCCCAACTCCCCAATTTCCTCATCAGCGTGGCCATACAAAAAGCAGAAAAGGCCTTGTGTAAGCCCTGCTCAGGCATAACAAAAATATACTATCAATATTACTATTAATATCTATATTACTGTGTTTTCAGCACAAATCCAATATACAGCTCAGCACAATCCTAACTTAATGTTTGCAAAGTGTTTACAGTAAGGATGACCATGGAAGATGCTGGCTGTCCACAGACACAGGCCATGGAGGGAGCCAGTTACTTTGAAGATACAAACATTCTAACCATGTTTAGATATACAGACTGACAGCTCTGAGGATGACAGAGATGCAAGCCAACAATAACAAGGGACAGAGCGTTGTCCTAGAATAGTTACACTGAAATACAAGGCACTGTGAAATAAATTCTTAGTCTTTAGGAGCCATGAGTGTGTTGCCCTGTTCTTTTAAAAGTTTTAAAGTTCTTTTACAAGTTTTCTATGCCTTCTGATGTTTACATATTTCTACTGGAGTTCTCACCCACTGTTCATGTAAATAATAATTGTTTTACATTCTTCTTTGTGGGAGGAGAGAATTGATGGACTGTTAGTTTAACCAGAGTGGTTGGAGAGGTGGCAATTTTGTCCTCCAATCCACTGTCACTTTCAGAATTCTATATATTTTGAGGTCAGAAATAAAGTTAGCTTCCTTTTACTCTTCTCCTTCTTTTACATCTTGAGTGAATGCATAAGTTATTTTGTGTCATAGTGTGACATGGGTAAGGATATTTCTTACCAAAGAAATATTTCTGACCAAATATTTCTTACCCAAGAGGTCCAGGAACCCACCTTTTAAAAAGAATAGAGGACATAATTCTTAGAGAACAACTGTTCTTTGTCTTTCAAAGCTGTCATTTAAATTTAGTGTTTGAACTTTCTCTTTACTGTAAATGGTTTTCAGATCACAGGAGAGGTAAATGGGTGAAACAGCTCTAGTATATTATACACCTGTTGTATTCAATTGATCAGCATTTGATTTCATCTTCCAAACCTAAATGTTATTTAAAGAAATCTTTCATATTTAAAAAGGAAAACCAATCCCCCTCATGCCAAAGAATACAATAAAGAATGACAGGATCTGGCTGCCTAGAGGATTAGCTATCTCAAGAATTAATCTTTCAAAGGTTACATTGGGTGTCAGAGAGGCAAAATAGATTCTAAAGATGCATTCTATCTGCAAAAGCAAAAACTTTTCTTAAGGTACATGCATTACACAATAACATCTTAAAAATGCAAAATAAGACATTTTTAAGAATTCATTGCCTAAAGTCAGAACTTATATGAACATTCAAATTGATTAGCTACAGCCAAAAGCTAAAAGGTATATAACATAGCCTGAAAAATTAATGAAAGCTTTGCTATTTTAGTTTAACATCCCTGTTTTTTGCTATCTAAACACTCCTACCATTGCAACCATCAGTTTTTTAACAGAATGTTTTACCAGACCCTGAAGCAGACACACAGACAAATGAACTCAAGATTGTCCTCAAAAGTCTGTGAAAACACCTCAGGAAATGTTGACTCTTACAGTCTATGGATCAAAGCTGAATTATCTGAAGCTAAATGATTTAAATTCTTCAGATGATGAATTGCTTGTAGCTCTTCATGAATGTTTTGTTTTCTAATTATGAAACATTCTTCACTTGAAATAAAAACTAGTTCTTTGAGAGTATGAATAATATTCAGTATTTTAAAGCATATTTTAATGTGTTAGAACTGAACTTTCTCTGACATTTAGAAGTGTCAGGAAAAAGGCCCTTGCAGAGGAAGCCTCATATTTCTAAATGCTCGTGGCAAAGCGTGGGTTTATGGCATCATGACTTCCACAGCACTGAAGAAGCCTTGTATTGCAATGGTGATTAACATGCATCGGGCCAGGTCCTGCTGTCCGTGCTGAGATCACAGCTCCGAAGCACGGCCAGTGTGTCAGTCAGTGTGCACTCAGGCACTGAGGCCTTGCTGCCTCTGAGCTCCAGCCAAGACGAAGGGCTTCTCTAGCACAACATCTATAGAACTGGTGGGCAAAGGCAATCTTTGATTTAACACGTTTACAGTGCATGGATGGCATTTAGACTTTATCCTGTGGGGGCCTGGTGTGCTTCCACAGAACCCAGGGTGGGCTTAGATGAATCAAAGCTGGCAAATTCAGAAGTCCTGAGTCCCAGGCTGCTGCTCCCATCCCACAATCTTTTCCTTTCTGTGAAAATACTAAGTGGCTTTTTCATAGGAATTGTACTGGGATTTAATTGACGTTATCCCTGGACTAGAAGTGTGCATTTAAAGTGCTTTGTTGCTGATTTTTACAGGACAATGACTATTACCTTTTGTTATGTATGGACTCTTAAATAAGAGAATTATTTCTATGTTAATGTCCAATGAGAACTTGGACTTTGATCATTATCTTTTTAGAGTCCAAGGCTGTAACTGTATACATGATTACTTTTACCTATCTAACAGGCTGGAATACATCAAAAGGATAAGAACCAACAAGAGCAGGAATAGATTGTGGTTAAGATGCTGATTCAGTTGTGATCTTGGCAAATTCTCCTCATCAGCTCTGTGCCATAGCTTTCTGCTTCTAAAACAGAGATTAAAATCCTGCTTTTTTTTTCTCTTGCCTTTTGTCTAAATTGCAATTCCCCAACTGTAAGCATCGGGGAGGGTGCATATGTGCAACACCTTGTACACTAGTGCTTCTTGTTACAACTATAACATTTAATCAATAAAAATAAGCCTTGTGTTTCTTTGATTAATGAAATGCTGAATGTCTTGCTAGTCTGAGCCAGAGAGGAACACGTATTTCAGATGACCTTTAACTGGAAAGAGTGGGAGATCACTGTCCTTGCTTTCAGTTGCTGAGCATGAAGCCAGTAATGCAAATTTTTAGGCTCTTGGCATGCAAATTAACAGAAGAGGTGGCAGTACACACATCTTTTCAAAGCTCAAAGCATCACATGTGCACAGGAAAAAAAAAAAAAGGTTACACTTCTGTAGTTCTCTACAGTCAAGCATTATTTCAAAGAGAAAATCCATCACTTTGAAGAATTTACAGAAGAAAACCTCCACAGCTACTAAAGCTGCAGGCAAGCGAGTGAATGCAACTGCTGAGAAAAATAAATAAGGGCCTTTACAGCAGTCCCATTGAATTGAAATTTTCCTTTATCACAGACTAGGCTGTTCTAATCTTCTTTTCTACCTCTAGCCACATATTTAAAAAGAAGATTTTTCTAAACATAAAAATGTTACAGTAGAAGCAGAGTTTCTAAGTAATGTATTATAAACCATCTCTTACCATACTAAAATACCACCTGAACTTGCCAAAGAACCAGTTTGGCTTAATTTCTCATTCCTGTTGTCCGCACGAGAAATGAAAAAAATGTCAGTTGGGTCACACATTGACAGAAACATCATCTTCCACAGGAGCTGGCAGTCAGCAAGTTCCTTAAAATGCTTAAAAAGGACTTGGAACACAGGCCAGACAGTCACAGCAAAAAAGCTTTCTGCAAGACACATTGTCCCCAAAGGTCCCAAGCGCCACAGTAACCCAAGAGCACAAAAAAAGATGTTTGTGACATCTTGTTTTTCCAGGTAAGCTTAAAGAAAACCTTAGGCAACCTAAGTTCATAGGTTACTTTTTACAGAGGCCATATACTTTGACATTTAAAGTACAGGAAATAGTCTAAATGAGATGTAAATTTCATTTACTGGTAGGTGTACCAAATACTAGCCTGAAAGCTCTGATGAATCAAGCTTTAAGGATAAAGCTAAAAGAAGGTCAAGACTATAGCCATAACTTTATTTAGGGTTGAATTGAATTTTCTCTGCTCAGGAATGAGGTGCCACAGAAGGAGTCACACACAGGACAAACTAGCAAGTGTGGAGAGAAAATGAGGAAAATGCCTTGAAAAGCTGCGCTGGTGATATTCCTTGCTGGGATAGGAAGGGTGAAAGCTGATGATGCTTCTGAATATATGCTCCCATGGAACAGGAACCACTCTTCTTGCTAATGTCTGGTGGAGGGTGGATGGCAGGAGCCACCCTTGGTTCCTTGGGCTGTGGTCAGGGGGTGAAGCGTGACTAGCTGATTGCCCTCAGAAATCAACAATCCCTCAACATTATCCTACTTCTGTGGCCTCCAGCCAGCCCAGACTTGGACAGTAACATTCTGCTCAGAACAGTGTGTTACAGCACTCCCACTACAAGAAGTGCATTTCAGTTTGGGGCCAAATATTTCGCTATAAATCCCCCTTTATTTCGCATCTGTGATAATATTTGCTAGCACTCCTTTTGCTCCCTCACAGAAGATGCGTGGGCCAGGCAGGGTGACCAAGGCTGCTGGGCCAGAAAATCGAGTTGGACCAAAGACTGTTTCTGCTGAACTTTCTGGAGTGCAGCTACTTGTAATTTCCAGAGCTGGCGTTGAACTTCCTAAGCGGCTCTGCGAGGAGTGAACTTACACCCAGCCTGGCTTATGAGCTCTGGCTTGTTAAAGCCTGCGAGGCTCCGGAGCAGCTGGCCCGGCTCCAAGCAACGCAAGATCTGCACTAACGAGAGGGCGATAACGGCGTTTACATCAGTTTTTTTTTGAATACACACCTCATCGAGACACGTTTGGTACCAACAATACATTGCATTAACAGCGCTGTGCGACCAACACAGCCATGTGGTATCCCTCAGGCGGCATGCCCCGGCCCCTGTGTGCCCGCGGTCCTGCAGCCATGCCAAGGCACGGGGACGGGCTGTGGGACAGCGGGCCGGGCTGGGCCGGGCTGGGCAGACGAGGGACACGACACGCTCTGTTCAAAAGCCGGCTCGCAGCGCTCAGCTGGCGACACTGCGGCCTCGAGGGGTATCTTTGGGCAGGTGACACGGCAGAGCCGAAGGGGCAGGCGGCGGAGGGTGGCCGGGGGGTGGCGGCCGCTGCCTGCCGCCGCCCCTCACGGCCGCTCCCGCCGCCCCTCACGGCCGCTCCCGCCGCCCCTCACGGCCGCTCCCCGCCGCCCCTCACGGCCGCTCCCGCCGCCCCTCACGGCCGCTCCCCGCCGCCCCTCACGGCCGCTCCCCGCCGCCCCTCACGGCCGCTCCCGCCGCCCCTCACGGCCGCTCCCGCCCGGAGCGCGGCTCCCGCCGCCGGCGCCGGCCGCACCCCGGCCGCCATTGGCGTGGCGGCCCCACGTGGGAGCCCCGCGCGGGCGGTGCCGCGGGGAGGGCGGGAGGGAAGGCGGGAGGGGGCTCGGCCAAGGGCGGGCGCTCGTTGTCCTGGTGACGCCGGAGTGAGTTGTGGTGGCGGCGCGGAGCGGCGACGCTGGAGCCGGAGTCGGGCGTGCAGGGCGGCCCCTTGCCCTGCCCCGGGCGCATGGGCCGCCGGCCCGCGGGAGCAGCAGCGCGCAGAGCCGCCCGCCCCGCCGCGGCGGCCCCGGCAGGTACCGGCGGACGCGGGGAGCCCGGCCCGGCGCGCAGGAGGGATG